ATGTAGGATTTGGGGATATTATGAGGGTAAAGGTAAAGCTGGTTTTGGTCATTTTAAGGAATGGCCAAAGAAGAAATAAATTTATAAAGAAATCAAAGAAGCAAGAAATTTAAGTAGAAATGTTCACTAGTGTGGCAGGCAGAATTCTAACATGGCCCCAATGACCTTTGCCCCCAGTGTTATTACCATCCTATGTTATCGCATGGCAAAAGAGATTTTGCATATACAATTAAAGTTACTCATCAGTTGACCTTAAGATAGCAAAATTATCTAGGTGGCCCTAAGCTAATCACTCAAATTTTCCTGTCTTGTAGCAGAAGGGAAGTCAGAGAGACATGAGGCATGACAGGGATGCAACATGAGGGAGGATCTACTGCTGAGAGATCTTTTGGTCCACAAAAAAAGACCAAAAGTAGCCTCTAGGAGCAGACAGCAATCCTCAGCCAATAGCCAGTAAGAAGATAAGGACTTCAGTTCTGTAACTAGAAGGAACTGAACTCCGCTAATATCAAGGTTCAACTTGACAGTGGATTCTTTTCAGAGCCTTCAGATAAGAACCCAAGCTGGTCAGAGAACCCTGTCAAGCACACCCAGTCTTCTGCCCTAAAGAAACATGCATGAGGTAATAAATGGGTGTTATTTTCAGTGGTGCTTTGTTATACAACAAAAAACTAATATGACTGGGAAACACTGATGTACAGGTTTAAAAATCACCCCCACAGAAACCACAGGAACAGATGAGCTCTCCCATGGAAAGTATATCTGAAAAAGCCTCGAAGGATGCCTACAGTCAGAGTGTTTTTTAAAAATGACACTAATAGTACATGATTTAAAGTATTCTCTGGCATCAAACACGAAAGAAATACTGTATTGAAAATGTGGAAATAACCAGACAACAGGCATTTATGTCCACCTACCCATTCATTTACAAATTTCCACAAGGCACTCTCACTCGTGTGTACTGCTTTTTGAGTTTACTATTTCACTAATCTGAATAATTCTGTATCTATCTACTCTAATACAAAGACTTACTTTATAATAGAGGAAAAAAATATAAATAATTGAATTACCTCTAAAAGTTTATTTGCAATATCTGAAAGATTGGACTTTAATCTTGTAGTCCTAAAACTAAATTTCCTTTAGTCCCTATTACAGCTAATTTGAACCTCCTTAACTTTCTAAATATAAACAGATGATTTTTGTCATAATTCCTATCAACAATGTTTTGCCTGAAATCTTCATGAAGTTTGTTTCTTTTCTCCTAAGCCTTGTCTTACGTTGGTATTTAATCAAATAAAAAACAAAACAAATTCATTAATTACATAAAAGCTGGCGCTAAGTAACATCCATTAATCAAACAAAAGACAACCTCATCTGTGCATAATTAATAACTCTTTTCTCACTACATCAAAGGCTATCGCCTTTCCACAAAATTTTAATCACTTTCTAACGTATTACCATCAACTTAATTACTTTTGAACACAAACATAAAAAGTTAGAAAACTAAGACAGTTTTAAAGCTTCCCCAGTTATTACCTATTAAGATTTGGTAACTCCCCCAAAATTCCAAGAAAATGAGCCACTCATGCAACTAATATAGAATTCATCTTTGGAAAATCTTATGAGACTGATGTAATTATTTAGCTTCTGAATGATTAAAAGAGAAACTTAAAGCAATATTACACAGTTATTTAACCAAATATCAAAGTTATCAAAGGCTTACCAGCACATCAGTCAACTACATACAGATGGGGTTTAGGGTCCTGCGTATGATTAAACCAACTGATCATGCTGAGACCACAGTAATGAAACATTTCGGCACAAGTAAGTGTAAAAAAAAGCTCTACTCTTTTTAGTTTGGTTTTGTTTTCATAACTCATCAAAATGGATATTCATCTAAGTTTTAAGCATTTAGCCACTAGCAGAATAATTTTATTTCTCTCTCCTTTCTCTCCCTTGCCACTATATTAGCAACTTAAGGAAGTTAATCCTAACTCTCAGAAAAGATTGTGTTCATAATCCCTTATACAAAAACTAAATAAATTTTATGCTAGGTGAGAAGCAAAAGGTTTCTGGGCCCAGCATTTCAACTGACATTGTATGTTTTATAGATCTGTAGGAAGGCATTTCTACCCTTTTTTAGTGGTTTTAGGGTAGGGAGCTTTTAAAAGAACTACAAATTATAAGGCCTCTCCCCAGACTAAGTAAATCAGAATTTTTGACAATGGCCTACCATAAAAGGGCAGAACTGTACCCAAAACTTTTTTACTTCCTTTAATAATCAATTTATATTTTAAAGTTTTAATCACCTTTTGTGGTAAAACAGTTCAAAGTTTATTATAATTTATTTTTTTTTTTCCTTAAAAAAATTTTAAGGCATCCTTTGGTAGAAAAGGTCCATTGGTAGAAAAAATCCTTTTACAACTCTCAGCACACCACTTTTACAGTTGCACTTTTTAGACAGTGAAATCGTACTAGGTGTACATATATAGTATATATGCCATACATATACATATTTCTTTTAAAGGCAAAAAAAACTCCACATGACTTAGAACTATTTCTAAATGTTTACAAACCTAATTTTGTACAAGGGTAAAAATGTTCTAGTTTGTTGCAAATTTTTCTCTTGGTGTGGTTCAGAAGTATACTAAAATCTGGGCCACATTTCAGATCTTCAGAAAATATAAACTAGAATACCTCCTGTCTTGAATTATATAGGGAACAGTCAGGAGTCCTTTTACACTTGCCTGCCCCAGTTATGAAAGCCTTTTCTGTTCATTCACTCTCATAAGACTTTCCTGTATTTTAGCTACAGTTCACCTCTCAGAAAAGTCTGCTATCATCTAAAAGTATGCATTGTCTCCAGAATTATTTCTGTCATTAATGAGAAACCTAACATTCCCCAATTTCCACTGGTAATAATAGTACTTCTTTCTCCAGACAACTTATCATTTATTTCAAATAAATCAAATGACAACAAACTTTACATCCATTTTAGAAACAAGAGAATGTTGTTTTAATTTTTTAAAGGTTTATTTTTCTCTTCTGTCTCCACTATTACAAAATGAGCCACACAAATGAGGACACAGGGTCTGGGCTGCATTATTCCTAAATGGGGAACCAACTATGAAGTATCACGGCAAAGGATGGCAGCTTTCAGATTAATGGTTAGTAGGCCATAGTCAATTTCCAAGTAGTTCATATCAGTAGAGCTGACACTGATAAAAATGTAAATTAAAAAAATTACCTGTTTTGCTTGCTGAATTATCTGTTTGCTTGCTGAATGTGGATTGTGATTTTTACTAAAAGAGCAGGTATACTAAATAAAGGTCAAGCATAAAACAATTCATATGTACAAGTACCTACTAAGGTATAAAAATGACTAGGTGCTCTAGATAATGCAAAGAGCTATACCTTTTGGGCTAAGAGTGAATCACCCTGTCCACTGCCTTTATTCCAGAGACACGGAAACAGGGCAGAGAAGACAGGACTCTCAAGTCACATAGCAAGGACAGAGCTACCTACCTGTCACACCACCACTTTAAACTTACAGAGTGTACTACCTATAGATGAAAGTTAATACAATTCTGTCAGTCAAAGAGAGACAGATACAAAGGGTCTCGAAAAGGTTCATGGAAAATGTTCATTATGAAAAAAAACTATGCATGGATTTCAATTTTTCACCAAAATAAACTCACACTAACTAATTATAACATGTCTGAACGGGATCTAGTTTGAGGCACTAGGAAGGATAAGACATCAGTTTGAAAAGAATTCCTATCAGGGCAATATGAATTCTGCTAAAACTGAAGCAAGAACAAACATCAACTTTATGGTGAAGCTTGGGTAAAAGACTGGTGAAATCACTGATGCTTCAGGAAAAGTTTATGGGGATAATGTCCCAAAGAAATCAGCAGTTTACATTTAAGAAGAGACAAAATGATGTTGGAGATGATGCCCATAGTGGCAGACCACATAAATTTTCAAGGAAGAAGTTAATCTTGTCCATGCCCAAGACCAACAATTAACAGTAGAAACAAAAGCCAACACCATAGACATCTCGATTGGTGTGGCTTACACGATTCTGACTGTAAAATTAAAGTTAAATTAAAGTTAAAGTTAAAATTAAAATTAAAGTTAAGCAAACTTTCCACTTGACTGGTGCCAAACCCAGATCAGCTGCAGACAAGAGCAAAGCTGTCAATGGACATTTTAAACAAGTGGGATCAAGATCCTGGTAAGAATTGAGGGAGGAGACCAAACGTGGCTTTACGAGTACAATCCTGAAAATAAAGCACAACCAAGCAATGACTACCAAGAGGCAGAAGTGGTCCAGTCGAAGCAAAAGTGAACCAGTCAAGAGCAAAGGTCGTGGAAACAGTTTTTTGGGATGCTCAAGGCATTTTGCTTGTTGACTTTCTGGAGGGCCAAAGAACAATAACATCTACTTATTATGAGAATGTTTTCAGAAAGTTAGCCAAAGCTTTAGCAGAAAAATGCCCAGGAAAGCTTCACCAGAGAGTCCTTCTCCACCATGGCAATGCTCCTGCTCATTCCTCTCATCAAACAAGGGCAATTTTACAGGAATTTCAACAGGACACCATTAGGCATCCATCTCTAAGGTCCTAATTTGGCTCTTTCTGGCTCCATCTCCTAATCTTAAAAAATCTTTAAGGGGCACCCATTTTTCTTCAGTCAAAAAAGACTACATTGACATGGTTAAATTCCCAGGACGCTTGGTTCTTTTTTATCCCTAGTCTCCAGATCTCCAGATACCCTCCTCCTTCAGGAATGGATTAAATGACTAGTATCATCACTCACAAAAGTGTCCTGATCTTGATGGAGCTTATGTTGAGAAATAAAGTTTACATTTTTTAGTTGTATGTTTTAATTTCATTTTCCATAAACTTTTTGAAGTCCCCTCACGTATGTTTGATATAGTTTGGCTCTGTGTCCCCAACCAAATTCCATCTTGAATTGTAATCCCCACGTCAGGGGAGGAACCTGGTGGAAGGTGATTAGATTATGGGGGCAGTTTCCCCATGCTGTTCTCATGATAGTGACTTCTCATGGATCTGACGGTTTAGAAGTGTGGCGCTTCCCCACTTTGTTCTCTTTCCTGGGGCCATGTAAATTGTGCTTTGCTTCCCCTTTACCTCCCCAGCCATGCAGAACTGTGACTCAATTAAAACTGTTTTCTTTATAAATTATGCAGTCTCATGTAGTTTTTTATAATACTGTGAAAATGGACAAATACAATGTTCAATACTACCAATAATTTGTACTAAAAGCTTGGGGTTTTTTGCTCTTCCTAAGATCTTTGAAGACAGAAGTTGTGCTGTTAATGATTAAGAGCACAGACTCTACAACCAGACTGCCTGGCTTCATATGCTGAGCTACCATTTACTAGTCCTGTGACCTTATACAAGCTATTTGGCCTTTGTATGCCTCAGGATACTCACCTATAAAATGGAGGTAACAGCACCTACTTTAGAGATTGTTACAGAAAATACAAGTTGAGCACTCCAATCCACAATCCAAAATACTCCAAAATCTGAAAATTTTTGAGCACCAACAGGACAAAAGTGGAAAATTCCATCTCTGACACCTTTGCTTTCTGATGGCTCAATGTACACAAATGGTTTCACGCACAAAATTATGTAAAATACTGTATAAAATTACCTCCAGGCTATACATATAAGGGTATATTTGAAACATAAATGAATTTCATGTTTGGAATTGAGTCCCATCCCCAAGGTACCTCATTCAAATATTCAAATATTCCAAAATCTGAAGGAATCCAAAATCAAAACCACTTCTGGCCCCAAGCATTTCATACAAGGGATACACAACCTGTAAACAATTTAATACTCGTAAATAATTAGGACATTGCCTGTCACATAGTGATTGCACAAATATTAGCTAAACTCTCTCTCCATACATAGATTCCCTGGGCTTACCAGAGTAATCATCACTAAGTCCTCAAACTACTTATGCTCAGTAAGCTACAGCAGACACAGTAGGCAAAGAAATAACAATACTGTCCTTACAGACTTCAAAACAAAATTCCTGAAACCATGAAACTAGATTCAAGTTTTATTTCTACTTCTAATTTCCAGAATATTGGGAAATTAGTTTTCTGGGTTTACCTTTCTCTGACATGGGTACAACAAAGCCTGTCATCAGTACAGTTGTAAAGATTAAACAACAAGCTAAATCCCTGGGTGCAGCTAGACCACAAAGTACTTCAAAGATTTGTATAAAGAATGTAAGACTTACTGTTCAGAGTCATAGTAGTCCATACGCTTCTTTTTCTTGTTGTAAGCCGCAACTCGAAAGGGAACTATTTCCAAAGTGATTAAACCAGGGGCCATTGTCAGCACTTTGGCACCATGACTTGGCTCATAAAGATCTTTCCCTGTTTCTGGATGAGGCATGCCAGCAGGGTCTCGTCCAACAATGTAAAAGTTGGCTCCTGCAACCATCCGTGCTCTGCAATGCCACTGGACCTAGAATAAAAGTTTCATTTTGGATAACTTTGCTTTTATGACTATGTACTTAGAAGTAGTAAGTGGATAATAAATGCATATGCTTTTTACATAATCATTATCAGTAGGAAATCTCAACAAATTTAGATGTATCATCATGGGAAGCCAGAAACAAAACTAACAAAAAACAACAACAAATCTCCCCCAAACCAAAAGATTAAAAGCATAAATATTTATGGATATATGTGTATATATATTTATGTATTACTTATATGTAAATGTACATGTGTCTAGATGTTTGATTTTACACAACTACCAGATGCCATTTATACAGCTCAAAATCTAATCTCTGAGGTTAGAAGTCAGGATAATGGCTGATCCCTGGAGGGAGGCAACTGCAAGGAGCTTCTGGAATCATGGTAATGCTCTGTTTCTTGATCCAGTATCTAGGTTCTGGTAATTAGGGTGTGCTCACTGTAAAAGTTCATTGAGATATATGCACACTTATAATTTATGAACTTTTCTGTTATATTATACTTTAACAGGTTAAGAAAAAAAAAACCCTGTTGGATAAAAAAGACATGTAAGTACTTACAAAAACTCGTACTGAGAAAATCATATAACTAATATATAACTAATCTTGTAACATATGCCCAATACTAGCTAAAAAAAAAAAAAAAAAAGATTGGTTGTGAGTAAACGGCCATGCTGCATCCAAAACTAGCCTTTAAGCCTCTAGTTTCAGACCTAGTAAGATCTATTATTAAAAAAACAAAATTAGTCTAACACCTAGAATAATGAAACCTTAGAACTTAAAGTGACAGTAAAAGATCATCTCTAGTTCAACAGTCTCCTTAAGATTTGAAGAAAGTGAAGGTTACGTGACTGATCAATAAAGTTTAGGATAAACTCAGGCCTAGAAATTTGGTCTTAGCTCCCTTTCAGTGTAAGGCTCTATTATTTAGTAATTTATAAAACCATCACTGTTCCATATTAAAATAAGGTATAAATGATGACCACTACACATAAATAACCAAATCATCTTTTATGGTTTTGTTTTCATTTTATGTCTCTCGATAATTTCCTGCATACCAGGTACTTATCTATTTACCAACATAGTTTAGAAACTGCAACAGTAAGAGAGCAATTCCATACCTCACACCTGAATTGTTCACCCTGAGGGGTTTTAACTTTTTCAGTTGTTTCTACTGATGTTTGCCTGCATGTTTTCAAACAGCATGCTTACACTTTGTTTTGACTGTTTAATTTTACATAGTATATAACATAGACCTTATTTCCACCTCACTTAGATTTTCTACCACATTTGAGTATTTAATGAGGTTCTTATTCTCCAACAGGTACAGTGATATCAATATTTTTGGTGAAATCAATATTCATTTGTAAAGTGAGGATTATAATAGTATTTATCTCATAGAAGTTTTAAGAAAATTAATAAATGAAACATGTGAGGGCTTTGAATAACACCTGGCACACAGTAAGCATACAATAAATGTTTGCCACTATTACCTCTATTTTAATCCCCTTTTTGTACAACTGTTTTTCCTAAAGATTGCCTTGATTTTTTTCCACTTGCATAGTTTTCCCAGGTTTTTGTGTACCTTGCTCTAACCTTCTTCATGAGCACACAGTTTAACATAATTCCCATGTTCCTTGCAGTGTGGCCATATCACTCAGTACTGACCAAAGGAATGACTGCCAAAGTGATATGCAGTTCTTCCAATTGTGGCCCATTAAAAAGCCCCCTGGCACTTTCCTAGTTCCTAGAACTAGGAAGGAACTATCATAGTTCTGAATGAACAATATGGCAAAGTATGATGCTGACAGATGTTTGTTCCATATATATATATATATATGCTACTACTTCTTCCACCCACCCTCAGATTCAGCTCTTCACAACAATTCTGATCATTCCCCTCAGTCCCTATACAGTAGACAGACATACGACCTCTCAGTTCAGACTCCTGTAATCAAGGGATCAATCAGAATTTTATCTTCAATTAATTGCTCTGCAACTCCACTTAAATGGAAAATCTTTTCTGCCTCATGCAAATTAGAAGCTACTTATATGGAGTGAAATTAAAAGGGCAGTTTAAGTTCTCTGAACTTCAGTAAACCTAATTTGCCTATTAAATATCTATGTCTATCACATTCAAGTACCCAAAGGTCAATAATCTGGAAATGTTTGACTTAGTTTTAATATGTAAGGAAGGTCAGATAATTTAACCCAATTCCTTTTGTCCTTTTAAAATCAGAGAGGAAACTGAAGCTCAGAAAAATTAAGCACCTTACCAGGGGGTAGAGCATTATTGGTGGCAGTGGCCAGTTCTAATTTCTAGTCTTGTACAATTACTAGAAAATTTAATTGCTTCTTTGATTTCCTCTAGAGGTTATATGAGTAAATTAAAACCATGAGTCAACATTCTCTTGCAGGTGACTTGAATGATTTTCATTTACATTTTACTGAATGGTTCTCCAATGAGAATACTTTTAAATTTTGAATAAACATGAATAAACAGAACACATGAAGCTCTTCCAAGAATACCTGTTGTGAGTCAACTTATAACCTACTGAAAAGTTATTATACTTTGTAGTCAAGAGAATGTAAGTCAGCCTTCATCAGTGGTATATCTGATTAAGAATACAGACCTTAAGAGTCAGGCTATCCTAGATTTGAGTCCTAGCTTTGCCCCTTACTGACTGAGTGTCCTTAAGTAAGTTCCTTACATAAATGCAGTCTTTTAATTTATAAAAATGAGAATAATGCTTAACACCAAAGGTTAATAGATTTGAAAGCACTCAAGATAGCACCTGGCCCTCAGGAAATAACAGCCACACACACTGATGCTGTTACTATTACTCAGTGAAACATTTCCTGCGAAACTCAGCTGAATGGCTTCCTAACCAGAGTTTCTAAAGAAAATTCACCCTCTGAAAAAGATGACATGCTGCCTATAAAATGGGCACTGAGAACCAGTGAGAGTTTCCTGCTTATCTCCCTGACAGACTTAGGTCAAGATGTATTATTTCCTGGTTTTTTTTGTTGTTGTTGTTTGTTGTTTGTTGTTGTTGTTAAACAGTTTTCATTCTTCTGAGATTCCCCACCCATAGGACTATGTATTTTTTTTAAAGGCATTAATGCTCTTATTCCAACAGCATCATCTCAGGTATGTCTTTAGTAACAGTTTTTACTCTAGATTATAAATCACATTTTGCTGCTGCTTCTAGTAATTTGCTATTGTATGCTTCCAGTAATTTGTTATTGTATGCTGGACTTGTGGACGATTTAAGGAGTCTGAATTGTATTGTTTTCCTTCAGAGTGTGAAGACTTGATTTTAGCAGGCAGGTTATTTACAAGCACTTCTTCTGTTTTTGAGGCTTGGCATTAGACCCTGTGGGGCAGGTCTAGTGTAGCCTTCTGTGTTAGTCATCAATCTTTTGCCTCTCAATTCCAAATCCACCCTCAGTACCTATTCTGAGATAATGGATTAAACTCCTTTAAGCATTTTCCCTTTACAGTGAGCATAGCATTAAGTTCTATCAGTTCAGGACTTTAGAAAGACACTGTAGAAGAAAGGGGGTTCTCTTCCTGGTCCTGATAAGCTACATTTTGCTTTCTTGTTCCTGCTGTATAATCTGTCAGTGGCGACTGTGTATGGGAATATCTGCCGGCACTCTGTTCCAGCAGCAAGCACAATGCACACAGTTCTTCACCGATCTCAAAGCCATGGTCTGAGCCCAGTGACCACTTCACTGTGGCCCTCCTAATGCAGACACTAGTGCACTCCTGTTGCCCCTCCACTCCTGTAAATACTCAGCATGTCTGCTTCAGCAGCTCCAACATCTCTGCTTCCTTAGCTCAACAGGACCACTGTCCTCTACTTGGGTTCCAACTGCACATGCTGAGCTCTGGAAATTGTCTCCAGGCAGAGAACCAGGGTAAAGATGGGGTCTATTTTGTGTGTTTTCCATCTCTCAGGGATCATTTTCCTGCACTGCCTATTTTCCAATTCTTTTAAACAGGCATTTTACATACTTAATTTTATTACTATTTTCAGCAAGAAGGCAAGTCCAACGTATGAGGGCAAAGCCAAGTATCAGTTACTCCATCACAACCATGGCAGAATTCAAATATATTTTGAAAGAGGCGGCAGTGGCATTTTTGTAGATAGATCAGGCATGGAGTACAACAGAAAGAGAGGAGTCAATGATGATTCCAAGATTTTTCAGAGACGATTCCAAGATTTTTCAAAGTACAGTAATCAATTTAGATGGGGAGGGGCTATAGATAAACCAGATATGAAAGGGGTAAAATGAGGCAGTTAACATTTTAAATAAGTTTGAACTATTTGATAATTCAGGTCTCAGGTGGCTGGATCTATGGGTTTGAAGTTTAGAAAAGAGATGTGAATTAGAGATAGATACTTAAGCAAAATAAGCAACAGAGAAAGTATTTAAAGCCAGGAGATGAGACAAGATCATCACAAGGGTAGTATACAGAGAACAGAATCATCACACTGAGATGTAGGACATGAAGAGATCTGATTATTTCCTTAAGAAAAAGGATAGCCAAAAACCATTCAATTTTAACACTTTAGCTACACATTATCAAATCACTTCCCCCAAAAGGTGATAACTGTCAAATAACTTGCAGATCATTTCAGTTTTATCACTCAGAGTGTGAGAGTGTAAACTGATATAATCTTTTTTAAAAATAATTTTATGTTACCATTTCAAGTTGGATATTTGCATTTCACAGGATCCAGAAATTCCATTCCTAGAAGACACTTTGCTCACATGCACAAAAACATATAAAACAAAAATAGAACACACCCAATAAAAAAGGAAATAACATAAATACTTAACAATGGGAAACAGATAAATTGTGGCATATTTTCAGAATGAAATACTATGTCACATATATGACATATATGTCAAACACAAGCACATGAATCTTAGTAACATAAATGTGCCCATAAGTGCCATAAGCAATGAAAGCAAG